AATTTTGGGGTGCCGATCAAATGACCCCACTGACCACCCCCACCAGCGGCTGCCTGCCAGACTTACATTTCCTTACATGGGTATGTACACGAATCATTGCTATATATGCATGAAAATTGGTTTCCTTTCCAGCTAATCTAGCTCAATTTTGGGGTGCCTTTCAAATGACCCCACTGACCACACCCACCAGCGGCTGCCTGCCAGACTTACATTTCCTTACATGGGTATGTACACGAATCATTGCTATATGCATGAAAATTGGTTTCCTTTCCAGCTAGGCTGACCCCCCTGGGCTCCCGGTCTATTAGTGACCCACGTTCAAACTAGATGAGCGAAACGATAGATATTACTATAAGGAACATGCTAATTATAAGCTATCGCATGGCAGAGAACTGCAGCAGAGGACTTGATGCGAACCACACGGAACATGCGGATAACGTCTACTGTAGGAACTGCTACGGAAAACTGTTCGGTCCGAAGGGCATCGGGTTCGGCATGGGAGCGGGCGCGCTATCCATGGACACCGGCGATGCGTACAAACATGGCGTCACCAGAGAGTGAGTACGGTCGCGGCATGGCGCTCACGAACGCTGCATCGCTAGAGAAACTGCCTACCTACTATACACCCTTGAAATGTTCAGCCGACCTACTAAAAGTGGGGATCAAAAATTTAATAAATGAAATCACTTTAACTCGATTTAACAACAGCCCGAGGCATCACTCTGTGCAATTGCCGCGATGCTAACGTGATTAGGCAGCAGCTGCATGGTATGAACGCATCTCTAATCGCTCACGTCTCTCTCCCGACCCTCGCAGGAACGTTCCGGGGACGGCGCAGGCGCACGTGGCCGGGAAGTCGACCGAGAGCACGGTGAAGCCGCGGTGGGGCGTGACGGAGCACTGTCCACGATGCAGCGGCAGCGTCTACATGGCAGAGAAAGTGATGGCCGCCGGTCAGGTGATGGATTAACCGCTCCCGCTCATGGCGAGCGAAGTTATCGAGTTTCGTGCCATTCGTATCGCTTCGTAAAATCACGCGGTTTTGCGCGGCGGTTGTGTGAATTTCCTAGCCACTCTATGCCTCCAGAATGAAAATATACCCTCTGTTTGCTTCTTGCTGCTCAAGCGTATCCTCTATTTACCGTTCTTGTCGCTCCTAGAGCTTGTGCAGACTTCGTAAAAATGCCACCAGGATGTGTGTATGGAGTTAAGCTATGATTGTTAAAATGGCTAGCGCTGCCACCATGTGTGAAACGCGGTAGTGCTTTTATAAAGCTTTGCAACTAACCCGTGACCTAGTAACCGCATGTATTAGTAACTGTCATCTTCAATTGTTGAATAATATGAACTTGCCCCTCGCTTCAACATATATCTGTGTAGAAATCTAATGTGTATCGCTCGTAACAGACAGATGATGAGTAATGGCTGTTGGCTCTTGCAGTCGTGGCATAGAGGTTGCTTCACCTGCACCACCTGTAAAAAGAAGCTGGATTCGACGTCACTCACAGAGCGAGACTCTGACATCTACTGCACAAGTAAGCACCTGCTCTGATCACTCTCTCGTGCTCTCTCTCTCTCTCTCTCACACACACACACGCACGCACACGCACACGCACACGCACACGCACACGCACACGCACACGCACACGCACACGCACACGCACACGCACACGCACACACACAACACGCACGCACACGCACACGCACACGCACACGCACACGCACACGCACACGCACACGCACACGCACACGCACACGCACACGCACACACACACACATGCTCTCTCTCTCTCTCTCTCTCTCTCACACACACACACTCTCTCTCTCTCTCATGCTTGTCAAGGCACATTTTATATGCCATTTGCATTATCTTTTGTTTTTTTCGTTTAGGCAATGGGATATAATTAAGTTTCTTACCAGCATCATTATTAACTGTTACCATAATTTTTTTATTTGGAAATATTTAAAGTTTACCGTATTTGTACTGTTGCATTTTTTTACTGTTATTAACTGTCCAGTTGTTGTATTTGTGAGTCTACCATATTTTTACTATTACCATGTTTTTACTGCTACCATATTTTCACAGTTATTGTATTTTTTACTGTAACCGTATTCTTGATGTGTTGCAGCCTGCTATGGGAGACAGTTTGGACCGAGGGGAGTAGGCTACGGAATGGGAGCAGGCGTACTAAACACAGGCCAGTAAGATTCTTCCAGCTTAGCGATGCAAATGAATTTTAAGAAACAAGGCAAGAACTGCTAAATTGTGAATAATAATAATAATAAAAATAATAAGATGGCTATAAAAAAGTGCCAATAAGTCACTGAGGCTGTGAAGGGCCATGCAGTCGCATAAAACTACAAGCGCATTTGATTTTATTTGGCATTTGCAAGCTCATATACTCAAATGTGTACCCACATTCCATAGTTAGTCGATTCCCTTGTAATGGAGGATTTTATCTACATCATTAGTGAGTTTATTCTTCCACAATCGTTGCCATAACGTCAACTTGTAATGGGGATTTATTTGTAGTTGTGAGGTGTTTGATACATTGAATTTTATGTTACTCTTTTTACACTCCTATTGTATTTGAGAGGGAGAAAACGAAACTAGTTTCTGTAAGATGTTTTATGCTGCTTATAATGTGGGAAGCATTTATTCATAATTATTGTGATGTATTGTGTGTCATACCTATATATATGCAATGGAAAGGGGGAAAGTCAGATGGTCAAATATTAATTTACGAAATGCAGAAAAGGTTGGCAATTCGTGTTGGCATATTATTACCATGGCCTTTAGCTACTGCTACTAACTAGGGTCTGTTGTCTTACACTGAGTAACACTTCTTGTAAACGTATAGTTTGCTTTGGAGAATTTTGTATGTCCCTAACTGCTACAAATTTATTTCTGAGGTCATATTATCATCTATATTGGCTCTCAACTAGGGTGTGTTGCAAATAACCCCAATATTATTTATTTACATTAACTACTATTGTTATTATTACTGGTACAGGGTCTTCTTTGATATTGAACTGATAGTATTTTAATGCTATCACATATATAAAAATGTAATACTCATAATTATTTTAGAATCTATAGTTGGTGTGTGTCTGAATCTGTAATCCAAGTGTGCTTACCAAATACTGAATCCATTCGCTACTTGGATTTGCAGGCAGCCACATTTATAAATCAAATAATAGATAAAATGCCAAGCTAGAAACATTTATTCGAGATGAATGTCAGTCTAAACTATGGCATCTTTTCATGAACTCCTCGCAAACACGTAGTTTTTAGTTGAGGTGCGTCACCTAGTGACCACTAACAGTGAATGAAATGCAACAATGTATTTCCCTCTGTATTGTTGAATTACACATTTCAAACTGTCAGTATTATGTAGACTTGGGCTCATTGCCAGAGACATGTCTCAAACGCTGTAACGTGTGAGTAAACTGTCATTCACATCTTATAGCATTTTATACTCCTGATAATCAACTATTTATGTTTCGGACATGGTCCTTTATGTAATTTGAGACGCCTGTCACGTGGTGATTAATCAGTCTGGTGGTGATCAAAACACGAGCGTTGTGTGATATAATGCACAAAAATCATATACAGCAAAATAGTTTTTATGTTTACGGGTTTTACTAGAAGATCAATTAAAATAACAGTTGCAGGGTAGCTAGGAAGTTTGATGTTGTGATACGTATACAGCAGCTTTGAAGTTTCGTAATTTATGTTTCTCGTCAAATACGTGATAGATTATTGTTCTCACAGTTTTTTTTACTCAAAATATTTTTAGATAGTATAGTTGTATAACTTAATAAACATGTTCCTGAAATTACTTGTGTACGTGATTGGTTTATTCATCTCATCTTCGCTGTCAAATACACTCTGCCCATATCATAGTTGATCTCCTTAAACATGCAGTTGCCTCATAACTTCATAAAGATTACTGCTCAAAGTTCAAGGGATTACGAAACAAGGAGAAAGTCAATGTTGATCGAATTGATAGATCAACAATGTAATCGACGTTGCAATAGAAAACAATTTTTTCTAAAGACGTAGTGTTGATATATAAACATAAACCATGTATAGCATATATTTGTCTACATACCATCACAAGTGAATGAAAACGAACATTCCTGACATCATACTGTATGGTATGAACTCAACTGGTTACGATGATATGTCCACCTACCCAACCATCACCTGTTACTTGGCCATAAGCCGTCCCTGTGTGATATGTAGATATATGTACTATGTATACTTGTATATAGATCAGGAGTAGATAATAGGGAAGAAGTGTGACATCAATAAACAAGGGAAATTCGTCATTTGCTAGCCTTAAAATACCTACGATTTACTACGCGTAACGCAACCAACTTGAGCTCAAATCGTACACAGTACATTCGCCTAGCATCGTGCGAAATCGTTTCCTCGTATACACCCGCAATCCGGAGATATAGACTAAAACGTACGACACGATTTTCCATTCTTTAGCCAGCAAAATCGATGCGTTCAGAGACGAATTTGAAACAAAAGGCAGCTACTAACGCGCTATTGCTAACTCGGCGGGCAATGTGGCTCGCTGGGAGATTAGGCATCAACGCAACACTCGGCGAGATAACCTTTGACCCGGTACACAGCTACATACCGGCATGCCCCCATACCACACACGAATGCCAACCGCAAAAATCTCCCAGCGAGCCACATTGCCCGCCGAGTTAGCAATAGCGCAATAGTAGCTGCCTTTTGTTTCAAATTCGTCTCTGAACGCATCAATTTTGCTAGCTAGAGAATGGAAAATCGTGTTGTACATTTTAGTCTATATCTCCGGATTGCGGGTGTATATGAGGAAACGATTTCGCACGATGCTAGGCGAATGTACTGTGTACGATTTGAGCTCAAGTTGGTTGCGTTACGCGTAGTAAATCGTAGGTATTTTAAGGCTAGTAAATGACGAATTTCCCTTGTTTATTGATGTCACACTCCTTCCCTATTATCTACTCCTGATATAGATGCTACTTAAGGTTGACCGGTGGCAGCGATGAGCTTCATGACACCATGCAGGCAATTATGGTATCTAATACCGGCAAGCAGTTTTCAGTGTTTAGCACATAGAAATAATATACTAGTTAGATTTTTATGATAAATAACTTTTTATTTTTTAATATTTTCTTCAGATCCTCAGAGTATATTTGGGCTTTTTAGGCTTGTGAGCAGTTCTTTGCCTGTATCGATCTGAGATTGCTTACGTTGTACCTTGCGGTATTGCAGCTTCAACTTCTTCTGTAATGAACTGATCTTTGTGTTTGCGAAATCAAGCTTGCATTTCAACATTTGTGGACTTTGTGTGGTATCAAAGGCATAGGGATGGTCTAGTTTCACACTGAGTGATGGCATAGCAGCTTCTGGTTCAAGTAGACCCTGTCATACAAAACGTAGAAGAACTATAACAACTAAGTTTTTTCACTGCTAGCATGAGACTATAAGCATGCAAATGTGAACGAAATATATAAAATTCTTAGATAACTTACATTATCACAGTCAATTTTCTCAGTCTCAAGGATAGCTTCTTCATGTCGTCTCTTTATAACATGCCTATGGTTTTTATCCTGTATCAGAATAAAAGTTAAGACAATGAACAATTACACTAACCTATTCCATTTTTAAATATGCAACATACTTAAAGTAGACCCCCTCATACAAAACGAAGAATAAGTATAACAACTAAGTTTTGTTCACTGCTAACGTGAGACTATAAGCATGTAATTGTGAACGAAATATATCAAATTCTTAGATAAACTTACATTATCACGGTCACCTTTCTCACTCCTCTCAATGATAGCTACTTTATGTCGTCTCTTTATTACACGTCTATGGTTTTTATCCTATATCAGAATAAAAATTAAAATAATGAACAATCACACTAACCTATCCTATTTTTAAATATGCAACATACTAACTACAGTGTTTCCCCTGCATTGACACTCAGCCGCCACAGAGAAATTTGTCCAAAACACCGCCTCGCTGACAAAACTTGACACCTTGAAAAAGAGATTCAAGAGTCTCATACAATGTGTTCAGAATAGCTTAGAATGCACAAAATTGCACCATTTTTTCAAAAATTTCCCGGGGCAGCATGCCCCCGGAACTCCCTATCTTGGCCAGCACCTGCGCTGCTCACTTTGCTAGGATCTCGAAATGCGCAAACACATCACAAAAAACATTTACCACCTCACAGACCTTTTTGGCCAGGGGAAACACTGAACTATATTATAACTAAGATTGAACTCTTTCAGCTAATGACACAGATTATGGACAGACCTTCTGTAGAGGTTTGGGGAAGTCAAAAATGGTTGGATAGGCTTCTTCTATTAGCCGTCTTCTGCTACCAGCTGCCAGGCATGGAATATAACACCAGGACTCAAAGTGGTTGGAGCAGAGTGTGTGAGAGGAGCTGGGCTTGAAAGATCCTCGGCGAAGTTCTTGCAACCAAATAGCAAGTTTCTTGGGATCACGTAGTGGAAACCTGCATTTATAGATACATCATACAGCACTGGAAAATATACACGTTGGCAACGTTTGGCACGTTGGCACGTTTGGCACGTTGGCACGTTGAACAAATGGCAAAAAACTGCCAATTGGTTTGTTGCTATAATAGCTATATAATTTTTTCGATTTGAATTTATATACGTGCTATTAGGAGTGAATACAAACAATTTTGTTTTTCTTTTTTTCTTTATGCTATAATCATATATATATATATATATATATATATATATATATATATATATATATATATATATATATATCGTGACATGCAATACTTACTTGTGAAAGGATAGTGTACTACCTTGCTGGACACTGTTTCGGCAGCCGGAAGCAGCACAACTAGTAGGCATAGTTCAATCTGTAACGGTTGCCAAACAAATTTAGTGTTGCCTACGTAAATTAATGTTTACATATATATTGCATGTATTTTTAAGAAATTGTATGTACAATGTATTTTAATTTCACCAGCTCAGCAAGTACTATTAGCAAGACATTTATAGAGAAAGAATTGCTCTCATCGAATTAGGGTGTAAAACAACTATTTTTTACCTCCACCCACGGAGTTAACGGAGTAACGGAGTGGAGGGGAGGTAATGTAATCGGTCTTCTGTGTGTGTGTGTGTGTGTGTGTGTCCAGTCCGCGCGGCGCGATCGATAGCGCGTCGAGTCAGCGAGCGGCGAGTCAGCAGCAGGCGAGTGAGTCAGCAGCAACCACCAGCGAGCGGCGAGTCAGCAGCCGCCACCAGCGAGCGGCGATTCAGCAGCAGCCAACAGTGAGCGGCGAGCCAGCTCGTAACACATACATGTTACATTCTGGCGGAGGTATGCACTCTACGTGAGTACCCTCTGTCTAGTTCCTAAGGTATATATGATGACTCTAAAATGCTAAAACTACTTGTCACAGATTGTCCTTGAAAAAACACATGCCCTTGAAATGTCCTTGAAGTCTTTGAAAAAATAATTCACACTTTTGTGGGAGCCATGTACTGAGTACCTAACAGTAATAATACTACAATATAGAATCAACCATCACGAAAAACCAAGAAAAACTTTTTAATTCAATATCTGGTATTCTATCTATTTCTATCTATCTATATCTGATATGTCTATCTATTTATATGGTACTTAATTTAATATATATCCTATCATGTTATATTCTCTCGGGAATAAGTGATCCCCCTCTCCCAAATGGTATCGCCTATGACCTCGTTAGCACGGTGAATTTTATTCAGGCATGCAAATGGCTGGTTTTCAGCCTAAACTTTTTCCCCCCCCCCCCCCCAAAGTACAAAATATGATTTTTTGGCTATAATACGCATTTTTACAGTCACACAAACACAGATACACACACATTAACAGATGCGCACATGCGGGCATGGTTGCACGCACGCGTGCGCGTGTATTATAGGTGTGTGCTGAAATTATATGGTATATATAATTTGAAATTATATTTGCTGGTGAAAGTTTTTCCATGCTTGACTTGTCGTGGGCGATACTATCCGCGCAAGGGGAGTAAGGAAGTGAGGGGGAGTAAGGAAGTGAGGAAGAGCAAGAAACGGAGAGAGACAAAGGAAATAGAGCGAGAGAGGGCAGACAGAGAGGAGAAGAGGGACGAGGGAGAAAGATAAATAAAGATATATATCTACATCAAGATATATATATACATATACACACAATCTTTTCACCGTGCGACTGATGCCGTGGACGATACTATCCGCGAGAGGGGAGTAAGGAAGTGAGCAAGGGAAAGAAACGGAAAAAGGCGAGTATATATATATACGTGCAGGAGCGTGTAATGACAATAGAACAGCATGTCAGTGCACAGTACCTACAGTGTACAGTGAGTAGTGACACTGACACCCGGGCCCCCCACTCCGAGGTCGGAGGAACCGCATGCGCATTCCCAAAATCTCCGGTAAAGGGGTATTTTTCGCGCGACAAAGTCCGGCCCAAGAATTGTAAAAAAGGGGGTGTATTTGACTTTTCACCCGGAGATTTCGTTAAAAAGGGGGTGTTTTTCTTCTCTCTCTTTCATCTTGAATATCATAGAAAACTTTATCAAATCCCGGAATCAAATTCCTGAAATTCCTGCTAGTTTTAAAAGCTCATTCAGGATTATTTCACTTTGAAAAGTAAAAATATTGCCCCCTAGTTCCCCTCTATCACTGAACTCTACACTACGTAGTGTAGACTGGTACCCGGTCGACAGTTCCACACGCTACACTAACGTCACTACGTCAGTGCCTTAATTGCGTCAGTGTAGCGAAGGATCACTGCGAAAGATAAGTAGGTACCGGAGTGAAGGTGGCGAACGGGTACCAGTCTATACGTAGTGTAGAGTTCAGTGCCATCTATCGACTCGATAGTACAGACTTCTCGAAATCTGTGATAGAGATATTAGCAACAGAACGTGTACATGGGATACGGCATCTGCTCAGCAAGATGGTGCTTGACAAGGGTAGTGTACGACGTCGTGGAACCTGCCAAAATTGTGAAAAAGGGAGTAGGGAGTACATTGAGCAGTGTTCCGGATTTAGGGGGTCTCCAAGGCAGGGAAAACCCGCAAAAAGCCCCCAAAAAGAGGGTTCAGAAATTTTGGCAGTCCTGAGATAGGGGGGTGCTTTCAAAGGGAGGGAACGAGCATATGCGTACCCTAAATAACACTGAGTGGGGGGGCGGGCACTGACAGGTTGATAATATAAGGAGTAGATAATACTAGAAGATCTTCTCCTCATATTATCAACCTGTCAGTGCCGCTGAGAGAGCCTTAGACCAATAAATTGTGCCCTAAAAAATTTTATATTCTGGTGTTATTTTAGGGCCCAATAGCCTTCCATAGACAAAACCTGTGAATTCCGACATGCAAAATGCACGACAACCTTTTTACTATTTACGGCCGTGTTACATAAAAAATCAAAGAAATACCTAAAGCCGTCGCTTTATTAACATGTTACCTACATTACAAAACACTTGCCATGCAGTATTCTCCTCTTTAATCACGTTTAATTATTAAAACATCACGACATAAAAATCACGCAAACTTTACTACACACAAAACTGCCAATCTTGTATTGAACCGCTCAACGACATTTCTCACCGGCCAATGAAATCATCGCTGTGACGTTTTCCGGTGCGGTTCAATGCAAGATTGGCAGTTTTGTGTGTAGTGAAGTTTGCGTGATTTTTATGTCGTGATGTTTTAATAATTAAACGTGATTAAAGAGGAGAATACTGCATGGCAAGTGTTTTGTAATGTAGGTAACATGTTAATAAAGCGACGGCTTTAGGTATTTCTTTGATTTTTTATGTAACACGGCCGTAAATAGTAAAAAGGTTGTCGTGCATTTTGCATGTCGGAATTCACAGGTTTTGTCTATGGAAGCCTATTGGGCCCTAAAATAACACCAGAATATAAAAATTTTTAGGGCACAATTTATTGGTCTAAGAGAGCCTATGTCCACCGCGGAACGTATACCCTGGTACTATCTAATACTAATATGCCGGACCGTACCTCGCCTACTTCACTAACGAGTCTAGGGAGTCGCCTACGCCTACTCCCTAAACCCCAACCCCAACCCTAACCCTAACCCATATCAAATACTGAAAGTGAAATAGTGACCAGGGTACTCTGTACTCACTGTACTATGTAGGTACTGTGCGCTGACATACTGTTCTATTGAGGTTGCGCTGACATACTAACTAGGTATCAACCATTTGATTGGTGGTTATTATTGACATTAGTCATTACTTTTGATTGGTCACTAGGCCTACTAATTATTGAAAAGCTTATTTTTTAGTTTCAACACAAATTTTGCTCTAAGTTACCGATTTCAGTTACCCGCTTGCATAAAGGCTGCCGTCACGATCGGTCACCCGGTGCACTCCATTGCAAATATACATAACCGGGCGAAACTCGTGACGTGTTGTTATAACTCTCCATCGGTTTTACGCGAACGGACGCGGAAAAGTTTGTTATGATCTGTATGATAGGTGACTGGGCGAAAACAGCAGATTTACATCACGTCATAGCAGTTCATAGATTGGTTACTAGTCTCTTCGTCAATATAGAGTAAATAAAGTAAAGAGATAAGTACCCATCTATGGAAAAGGAGCAAATATGGCTGCCTCCATGGTCTCATGTTTTGGATTTATTATTTCTTCTTTTTTATTATCATAACCTCATTACGATTAGTACAAGGGACCTTAGAGTAGGATTATTAATAGTTACTAAGTTAGTTGATTTGAATAGAGAAAGATATTGATTATTCAGTCACGTGGTATAAAATGTATACATGTAATGTATGCGAATATTAATTCATTATGATGTAACATTGTTCTCAGCAAGGGACTTAGTTCGAGTTTCATCTGACCAATGCCCACACCGACGATTTTGGTAGATTTGCCATTTGGTGTGGGTTAGACACCAAATCCACCTAACTGGTACCCACACCAAATCCACCAAAATCGTTGGTGTGGGCATTGCCATTGGCATTGCCATTGGTCAGAGGAAACTCAGACTACAACTACAAGGGACTATACTGGTCACTGCCACTGGCACTGGCAGTGGCAGTTCCAACAAATCAGTAAAAATAAAAATAATGTATGATAAATCTTAATTATTGCACCACTAATAACTCTCCTATCTGCGGTAAACGACTCCCCACTGCAAAAGAAAAGCCTAACGTCGGCGCGAATGCTGCCTCTCTGCACTATATACAGTATACGCTGTGTACTCATCTGGGGGATTATGTAATTATTACTATTGCTGTTATTAGGGCATTGAACCATTATGGCCCCTGTATTAAAGGCTGGAATGTGCCCATGCCTCTCAAAAGAGCTATGCGAGTCGCTGTGGAGACAAAATGTGAAAACAGTAGAGAGCTTCGTTTCGGCAGACTTGAAGATTCTTTCACTGAGAGACGGACTTGATTACAAGGCAAGCAATTGTATTGTTGAACCAATAATTAAATTATTGCAGTTAATTAGGGTCATATATGAAGCAGTTCCCCAGCTGGAGGAGCTTAGGTTTAGATGGAGCCTGGAGGCTAGAAGGGTCCTCCTTAAAATTAGCTCTAGTAGTATAGGCTAGCCCTTACATGCGGCTAAACGGAGGAATTTCTCCGACCTGTGATTGGAAGATAAAAATAGAATTTGTGACGTTTCTCAAGTTTGTCAATATATGACACGCATACAACTTGATTGATAACAAAACCTAGTCTAAGTGGGTGAGAGAGTTATAGCTATTGTGTATTCACCATAATTCCCTCCCCAGGCTCCCCCTCTCTTTTCTTTTTCTCTTCTCTCCTCCCCCTTCCCATATACCGGGCTTCCAGTGTCAAAACGTCACATCAGCTGATGTTTTTGAGCTAATCAGAGGTTGGAGCAATTACTCTGTTCAGTGATGTTGACTGTCAGCTAGTCAGCGGCTAAACCGTAAATGGAGGAATTGCTGTGAATACAATACGAACGCTACTTGAATTTGAACAAGAAACTTTGTGAAAGTTAGCAAATATTCGTAGAATCCTCTATAAAGAGTGTAAACGTTGTAAGCTTTTGAAAATAAACTATCATGTAAGTGCAGTCAGTGAGATGTATAATAGCAGGAGTAGATAATAGGGAAGGAGTGTGACATCAATAAACATGGGAAATTCGTCATTTACTAGCCTTAAAATACCTACGATTTACTACGCGTAACGCAACCAACTTGAGCTCAAATCGTACACAGTACATCCGCCTAGCATCGTGCGAAATCGTTTTCACGTATACACCCGCAATCCGGAGATACAGACTAAAACGTATGACACGATTTTCCATTCTGTTTCCAGCAAAATCGATGCGTTCAGAGAGCCATTTGAAACAAAAGGCAGCTACTAACGCTCGGCGATGCGGTGTGACTCGCTGGGAGATTGGACATTGACGCAACACTCGGCGAGATAACCTTTGACCCGGCATACAGCTACATACCGGCATACCGGCATACAGCTGTATGCACCTGTATGTACCACGCACGCACGCCCACCGCAATCAGCAGCAATCTCCCAGCGAGCCACATCGCATCCCCGAGCGTTAGTAGCTGCCTTTTGTTTCAAATTAGGCTCTAAACGCATCGAGTTTGCTGCCAACAGAATGGAAAATCGTGTCGTACGTTTTAGTTTGTATCTCCGGATTGCAGGTGTATACGAGGAAACGATTTCGCACGATGCTAGGCGAATGTACTGTGTACGATTTGAGCTCAAGTTGGATGAGTTACGCGTAGTAAATCGTAGGTATTATAAGGCTAGTAAATGACGAATTTCCCTTGTTTATTGATGTCACACTCCTTCCCTAGCTATTATCTACTCCTGATAATAGTAATACTTGTTTGGCTTGACTTTATTCATATCTAAGGAACCATTATTGAAACACAATCGACACGTTGTGTAGTGCAACTCATTTATTCCTTCCCGACTTCCCCCCCCCCGAGTTTACACCACGCATACAAGTGGCGCCACCTCTTGGTACATATATCGACATCCACAACAATACTGACAGTCTTGAGGAATATCACGAATTCTATTTTTATCTTCCAATCACAGGTTAGAGCAATTCCTCTGTCTAGCTGCACGTATGGTGAACAACTTCAACAAGGGCTATAGTTCTAGAGCTACACCTTAAAATGGATAACCTTTGCAACAAAAAGCCTACATACACCTACTGTGAGCATACTTGCAGTATGCAAACATCTCGTAATGTTCTTATTGAACCAGAAATGTGCTTCAGATTGACTATTTTGAAAACTGTTGGACAGAGTTTGGGCGTACATATACATGCACATAGAGCGATGTGACTAAGAACGCTAACAGTAGGTCTACGCTAGCGCAAATAGTTCTTGTGGCTGTAAAGAAAACACTATACATATTTGTTTGCTGATTGCATAAGTAATGTAGATAACAATATGATTTAAACAAATTTTACATTTTTGTACTGAACAAACATCGAATAATGAATTATAACTTGTTCTATTATAGAAAAGAACTGTTAATGAACTGTTATGAAAACTGATCGCTCGGCTGTGACCTGGATGTGTAAACACGGTGTAAACATTCAGTTGTACTAGTTTAATCGTAAGACTGTTTAGGTTTGCTGAAGAAATGTTAAGAAAGTAGCAATCCAAATGAGTTGTAGTGAATTTTTGCAACATATACAAGCTCACAGTAGTTATATGTCTATACATTTTGCTGCGAGAACATGCCGTTTTAATTCGTATCGTGACTTCACCCCTCTCTACTTGCTATAGCGCCTTAGAGTCATATAAGGATCGAGATTGTTTATATCTGGAGTCAGGATTGAACAACAAAAATATTTGGACAAAGTATAATATGAGAATATTCTGATAGATGATATTGGTCTTGATTGCAGGAGCTCTGCACATTAAAACATGCTCTTCTGCTACAATTCGCTGCTTTCCCTGTTAACGGTGTGGATCTGTATGACCACATGCTGTCGTACTTGGCTATTCTAGCAACAGGATGTCCGGGGTAAGTAATTTTGCCCCTCATAGTTTTGATTTAAGTTGCACCATGTTTCATATAGAAATTTCTGCATGGCTAGTTATGCTGGAGCAGGTTTACCCCAACCATACTGATAGATACGTTATCTACAGAAATATCATGCTATATTCCCAGCCTTGACCGACTGCTAGATGGTGGAATTTTCACAGGAGAAATCACAGAAGTCTGTGGATCGACAGCCACCGGTAAAACGCAGGTAGTACTCACTGTTTCACATTGGTACCAACTTCTGACCATATCCACAGCTGTTTTACTAAACTCATACCAGCTACAATGCTGACTGGGCATTGAGAATGTATGACCTTAGCCTTGGAGCCAATTTAACACAACGACTAAGATTAGCTGTATTTGTGCAATTCAAATCTGCTTAGACATTTGTCATTGCTGCAGCGTTTCTCATAGTCTATTTTACTGTGGACTATTGTACGTATGCTTGCATGCATATGTGTCAGAGCTAGGTTAATTTCTTTAGCTGTTACTAATGCTTGGCAGTTGTGCATGAGCATAGCTGCAAATGTTGCGGCACGGAATGGACAAAATACTTTCTACATCAGCACCAACGCAGGCTTCTTCAGTGACCGGCTGCTGCAGATCATCGCTTCGAAATTCACCAGTGATGAAGGCAGTGTAGATGAGGTACACATATGTGTTACCATCATTCATACTTCTCACACCTCATTATTACGGACTGAATTATTCATAGCAACTATTCGTTGCTAACTTTGTGGCTTCATGACATTCAAATAAGGAGCTTGTCAGATCCATACTGAGTAGTGAGGTAGATCTCGTAGATGAGGTGGAGGTCCTCACTTCCTACGTGACTCCATATAGCCATCATTGTTGACTGCACTATTGCATAGACTGGCTCTCATCGATTATGTCATGTTGTGTGTAGAGTTTGGTGACAGCAGCACTGGCCAGGGTGCGTTGCCAGCATGCCTTCGAGTTGTCAGATCTGATGAAGACCCTGCATGAAGTCAGCAATCAGCTAACCTCACAGGTATGATTTATTTATTTTATTTATTTATTTATTTATTTAATAATAGTGCATTGGTAAAGGATATATCAACGTGAGCTGGCTAGCTCATCACCGTCAGTAAAACTATAGGAGGTAACAAAGCATTATTTAGCAAAAGATTATTCAATAATCAGCTAATCTGACAGGTAACAAAACATTTATCAAAAAGTTTTCCTATAGTCGGCTCACTTCACAAGTAAATCAACATGTCATAACCCCGTCTTTGTAATGATTAGCCTTGAAATTTCAAGAGACTATATCCAAAATGGAGAGATACAAGTTAATCACATAGATAGATCAACAACTGTGGATTGTAGTTGAAAATGCTTCAATGTTACAATAGAATAATGTCACGTAATAATTCAGTAGGTTTTTGTTGTGTAGTCCAGTTTACTGACTTTAGCAATAGTTAAATATGTTAGTGACTCAGCATTGAGATATTCACATTTTTAAGACTAGCCAAAAATATTTAATCATTCGAAAACTTTGGCTTTCATTTGCTCCATAGCTTATATTTCCATATAGACCAGGATGAACCTTGAAATCGTGACCTTGTGATACGTAGTAGTGGTAACAATGGGAGGTTCTGCTGTGCCTATGAAACTGATTGGTTTTTGGAATTAGGTTCATCAGTCTTCAATCCAGAACATTTCTTCACAGAGTTAACTGACAGTTATGACTGTGTTCCTAATTCTTGAAACTATCCATAACCTTGCATATTTTCAGGTGGATTCCTTCTTTGGTTCCCTGAAGGTCATTGTGGTTGACTCTGTCACGGCAGTGTTGTCATACCTTCTCAGTGCACAACACGCTGAAGGTATGTATCTATAATGAATATATTATGATGTATTCTGAATGAATACATGTATATATGTGTGTGTGTGCATGTGCATGTGTGCATATATTAGTGTAGGTTTATACAAGAGTAAGTGCGTGCATATGAATGTTGAAATGATTTTAAAGTGTATCTTAATCACTTTACTTGTACAGAAAGTAATGTCGTTTTAGTATGTATATTTTCTTCATGTTGTATAGCAGTGTTTTGTACTGTTTTACTTAGAAATGTTATTACTTGTGTGTATGTGTGTGTGCGTGCGTGCGTTCGTGCGTGTGTGTTGCAATGAACTTTTAGTTATACATTGTAGCATGATTGTAGAGCAAGTTTACGTTGTAACCAGTATATTCATCACATGAATTCGTATGTAATGATTGCAGTCTGATGGTATTAATTTTAGTAATTAACCAGAACAAAGAGGCTGAGAGACCAGACTGGCATGCATCACCTTTGTAATTACAATATAATCAGATGTAGCGTTTTGTGTCTCCCCACGACACCTGAGGGCGCCACCTGACGATACGCAGTAACTAACAGTTCAACTTACGTATAGTGCAGTGCAACACGGTGGATAGTGACAACGAGAGATACAAGATAGATACTCCTACCTTGTACGTCGTACCGTGGCCACCCAGTCTCCACTCCCTCACGAGCGCCTCAATGCTACTGCGCTCCCTCCTCCGGACGCAGCCAACCCAGCGTTCGTTCCGGCTCCGGTGCGATAGTGTGGTTAGTCAACAATGCCAGACGACGGACGTCACGGGACAGACAGTGACACAACACAACACGGCGCACCTTATGACGCGGGGCTACTCGGGAGATATTACTTTAACGTGTAGGGGAGGGCTAGGCAGCCGGCTGACGGGACACCTGTACGGCCACTCACACAAGGGACGAACTCAACGCCCGATGCGCCTAAAGCTGCTACTCGAGAGGGTTATTAAATCTGTTGACGTCTGTTAAATCACTATTAAAACTGCTATTGCCGTTACCGTTACTATTGATATTACTATTACTCAGCCCCGACGGTGTGCCGAAAACAGCCCGCTGTACTCACTCTCTCTCGTCTCCGGTCCTCGCCCGGTCCGTCGTAGACCCTCGGCACTCACCGAGCACTCGTACAGTACACTCATACGCCAAACTTTTAACTCTGCTCTACGCTCTGCTGGGCTCTCTATCTCGCAGCTCGACGTGCGCTCTCCTGCACCGCTTCGAACTAACGCGCCAACACACACTGTCTTTGCACACGGCCCCCCGCTGTGCCAGCTGTTTCCTACGCTAGCCCCGCTCTCGGGCGCTAGAGGGGGTTACAATCACGACTAATGGCAGCCCCCAAAGAATCCGGCGGTGAGTGAGTAATTGCTGCAATACACTTACAAAACGCACATGAAACACACAGAAAGACATTACAAACATAAAACCGATTACAAACACAACATTTACACCCACCCAGGGGCAAGCTCAACCCCGGCGAGCACAGGGCTCGCGGCAACCGGTACCACTGCCACACAGAGAACGTGATTTCAACATTGGTCATTGGTTGTCAATTTTTGTTTATGTACTCTGCAGGTCACAGGTCTATGATGGAGCTAGCCAGACTGCTGAAAAGTTTATGCGCAGAAAACGGAGTAGCTGTTGTTGTGAGTAGGAAATTTCAAGTTTCTTTCACTAGATGGCAGGGTATGTTCACTTCGTGACTTATTACCAGAGCACGTATATCATCAAACTCCACGTAGGATGGCGCTCTCGCTCATGGGTTCAATCCTGAGTGTACGAAGGGGCACTGCATGCAGTTTGGTATATCATATATGATATACGTGCTCTGATATTACACAAAACTAATGGAAAGTAAAATCAGTAACGTTTGATGTTTTTTTACTACTAGCAAAGAATAAATAGGATAGTGAACATATATGAAGTATTACAGGGAATTTCTCCCTGGGGTACCAAATGTTATTTTTCTTGCATTTATATCATAAACCCAAACTGTTATTATCTTTACTAGAACGCATTATCAGGTATCAAGTTCCTGCTAAAGATTTCATATCCTGTTTTGGTAATTTTTTTACCATTGGTCTGCTATACAGGATGGGCATGCCACTGTACATGATAAAAACGGGCATAAAATGCTGACACAACGTACCTCGCCACACGTAAAAATTGCTCGGTTTGACACCATATTTATATTATGAAATGTTTTTTATGTATAATCTGATCCCAGAATAAGGTTAGCGTGAGGAGAGTTAAAGATGATATTAAACTTGTTCGTGCTTGAAGAAACTCATGAAAACCAGCTTTTGTGCTTCATGGTTATTAGCTCATCTGACATTTCCTCATCAGATTCACTCCCACTACTAGATCCACCATAATTTGCAACCAAGGAGGCTGCCATGTTTGGTTTTGCGACACTATCGCTGAGAAAATACTCCTTCTCCTATTTATGTGTTTTATCCTATTTAATTTTAATATTTATTTTAATAATTTATTTTTAAATGTTTTTTTCGATTTACGTAAAAGTTAGTCGGTACGTATAAATAGTATAATTATATTTTCATATATGACTGATGCGGCCAAATGGAAATGCGGCTGTGAGTTGATGGGCGCAGACATGTTGAATTCCGCCGGCATGATACAAGATGTCTGGTAAAGTAAGGCATAGAGTTGGTGCAAATCCAACAGAAGCAGCTACTCTCTCTGTAAACGAACGAATTCTGAAAGACTGTCACAACATATACATTGATCCAGCAAATGGTAAGTCTGTCAACTCGTTTAAAACCCGGGTTGTCTTAGATTCTAGTCGAGTAAAAACAATAACAAACCGTTTGCATTTTGTCGTGAACGTGTCACTGTCGCAGATGGGGTCGTTGTCGTATCAGGTACTACAGTACAGATATGTACCCGAGGTAGTTTTAGGTTGTTTAGTATTATGTTTATATTTTTATATGAGGTATATTTAGAGTTAGGGTTAGGGTTAGGGTACACTTCTGTAGTACAACTTGTCTGGTTTGTGTACCTAGGCTATACGATATATGTACCTCGGGTACATATCTGTATACTGTAGTACCGGTCAAAGTAGTGTTTACACACCCATGTCGTGAGTTTGGTTAGTGTTAGGGTTAGGGTTAGGGTTAGGGTTTTTAAACCTGGGGTTGTCAAATAGGATTTGGCCGTAGTACCTGACGTGACAACGACCCCTTGAGCGTCACTGTCGCTGATACTGATAGGGTCTATGTCCCCCAGGGTACTATCGGAGGGTACCCTGGGTACGGTTTGATATATCGGAAAGTACTTCGGGGTACTATACGGCGCTGCGTACCCTGCATTGTCCCACCGTACCCTGACTTTCAGCCAACTGATCATGAAAATATATATATATACACACATATATAAACCCTAACAAATATACATGTGGTTTTGCATAAAAATGATAATTTTTAGTGAATGACAAGTTGACAACATTTAACGCTTCTCCCCTATGATTAGCCCGACCAGGCTGTGCGACAGATTGTCTATACAGCCTGACACCCTTCCATACAAAAAACCTATCACCTCTGCAGATCTAGATGAATAACTCTGTATATCTCAAATAAAACTATTCACATTTGGGACTAACAGGGTTTACTAGAATCCCACCACTCCACCACAGAGTCACCGCAGTAGACGTTAGATGAGAGCTGTCGCTCCGCGGCACTTGTATTAATGAGCAGTACAAAATTTGTCTAATAAACCCTTGTGTTGACAAACGTGAAGTTGTTGCTTTTATCACGTTGTTCTGACAGGTACTTAAAATCGTCCCATGGCCTAAGGATTTATAACAAAATTAAACCAACTTATTGGAACTGAAATGGTGATCATATCATTCCAAGATGTTTTAATAATCCCGGAATGTCAGCGTGAGAATTAGTGTCACTAGACATCATCTCTAAAATTTATTTATTACTGCACGCTTCTGTGTTCCAATCATCTACGGGCTTAGCCTTACTGAAACGTCCTGCTGCATCGCCCTAACACAGGACCTTAACTGTAACCCTGATCCCACGTCTGTAATGTGCTACAGGTAGTTAACACGACTCTGCAAAGCAAGCTAGTACATGTGAAACCCTCACTGGGTTATTCCTGGGCTCATGTACCCAACACCAGACTTCTCCTCACCTTATCCAGGTGTCCTGATATCATGCAAGGTGGCCCTGTCTACAGACACGCGTCCTTGCTGAAAAGTACAAGACAGGTAATAATGGCGACTATCAGGTGTTGATTGCACTGCAGGTATATTTAATTCTCGTCTCGATAGCAAAGCATTTTCTGGTCAAAGGAGGTTGTAGAGTGAGTGGCATCTAGTGGAATATCTTGCATTAGTTTATGAGAGAAGGCTATAACAACTGTGATCAGGTGAAGTGGTCTTGGATGATCAGCATTTGATGGAGAGGAGTGAGTTACCATGCTCCTGATTTTTAATGCAATAGATCTTGTCAAACATAATCACCTGTCTGTTTTGATATTCCTGTTCAATGACATTATATACACTAATTTACACGCACTCACACGTACACATGCAACCAGATGTATGCACATATGTGCATGTATACAAATTCACGTATACATGCACAAACAGATCCTTAGCTGCTATCTCAAGAGATCTATTGTATATACATTGAACACCTTTCCTTCGTGATCAAAATTTAGATCAGCTTAGTTGCTAAAATTAATTTTATAAAAAAAAATCCTAACAATCCTCTCACGTGATGTGATAGCAAAACGCAAAGTTTTAAAAGTTGCAAAACAGGCTTTTCCATTCGAGGCATTCATTCGAGCAGTGCGATGGGTGGGAGATTAACAACTCAGCAGAATGCAGCATCTTTGCGCTTACTCCGTCAGCTGCCACCGTTGTGCCACCAGCCCTCCTACTGGCGGATTGACTTACAACCCCACTTGTTGCTGTGCAGTGACCTTTGCTAACTTTCCCATGAAACACAAGCAGCTGCAGGAGGGGAGGGCAGATGCCCTGTTGCCGTAGCGACCGGCTCTGTGACGCCGACAGACTACTTCCCAAGCTTAATTCTGATTTTTTTATTGCTAGTGTGGTGTCTGTTGGATACAGTCAATGCAGGCGATTGGTGAGAATAGGCAGCGCACGTTAACAGCAGCCAAATTACTGTACACAAGTTCCCATGACGAATTGCTCATTCAGAATCATATTCATGCTCTACCACTCTGTTCTGCTTACTATATTGTAACTCATTCCTTTTGCATCTGAGTACATCATTCTGTATGCTCACTATTCACTTCTGACTACAGTGCATGATGACTATTGAATAAGGACAAGGTGGTTTGTGATCGATCCGTGTGCTCGCTCATGTATAGTTCCATTCCACATTACTGCATCCTCACCTCAATTTTAATTAATATCTCTGTCGATAGTGGAATGATATGCTAAAAGTCTTGGGCTAAGCAGGGCTAATTAAATGAGGTCATTGTTCTAATAAGGCGTGTTACTGTGATTTGAGTTTGTTTTGATAAGAATTTGAGGTATTGTTCTTGCTGTGCAACTGACACCCAGTTCTTCTTGAACATCTTAAATTGCAGGCAACAGGTCAGTCGGTCGACTATACCATCAGTGCTGCTGGAATACAGGACGTCACATGAGCGATCGTGAACACAGCAGCATCCCCTGCAGAGAGATACAACTGTCATGTGATGACAGCACCCATATAAGGCAGTTTTTTGCTGCAGCAGCAGTGCATGAATTTGTTTGCACTGGAATTGCTTTGAACTAGTTTGTTATTATTTATTTAGCTGCTTGAACTTCAGAATCAGCCAAATTCATGGAGTTTCAGTATTATTCAAGATAAGCGCAATCTCTGTCTGTTTAAAAGTGGAGTCTTGTTCTAATTTTGGGACACACATTGCATTTAATGAAAAATGTTGTTATATATAGTTATACTGGTAATCATGCTGGATATTCAGTGTGTGTGTACCAAAATCTTTTTGTATATATTACTTCAATGTATTATGTCTTTAAAATAAGTTCTAAAGAGCATTAAAAAAAGAAAAAGAAAAAAAAAGAAGTTGGAAGTGTAGTAAATATAATTGTGATAATATTAATAAAGTTTACTTTTTGCTACTAACATGTCTGTTTGTTTCTTGAGAATAAACAATATCGAGATCGCATTAGACGTACATGAGAGAGGAAATCACATCTATAAATTAGAAAGGCCCCTTGTAATGAATAGAAATGTCCATAAAGTAAGTACCCAAAGATATTACAATATTTTTTGCCTGGTAAGTCAAAGCAGTGAAGTGAAAATAAAATCAATTTTCTTATCCAAGCACCCTAGAAAATGTTGAGACCAAGTCATAACAAACATGAAACACAACCAAATTTCGGATGCAGTTCATAAATAATCTTATTCGTGGTATTAATTAAATAAAAATTTTCAACAGCTAAACTCGTGTAAATATAGTTTACATCACTAACCTAAAAATTATTTACAAAACTTCTAGTTATGTATATTTAAATAATAAAGAGTGAAAAACATGCTCATTACGAATGCATACACCTGTACATTTGCTATATTATATATATGGAAAAATAATAAGTTTGGAGTTGCATATATATACTTATCATCAGTAAACGTGTAAGAGAAATCTGCCGACAATTGCCCTGTCATGGGATGACGTGTGTTCTGCATATAGGGCAAAGAGCCTAAATAAGGTAACCTTAATCATCTTATTTAGGTACCTAAATAAGGTTTAGGTTAGTCGACATGGGCCACATACACAGTCTATAACAGACCAGAAACTCACAAATTGTATCATCAAATTATGTACTGAGCGAATGCTTAGCGGATCATGACGACGGATATTACATCTACGCCTGTCGCACATAACCCTGGGTACTACTATATGTGCCTAATGAGACATCCAAGGTTCGTCTTGCAACTGCTGCTTTCTGTATGCATGCATGGCCCTCTTGGGCGGAATAAGCGACTGCGCTAGTCCTACTCTGCGCTTCCTCTGCACATCGCTATCAGTACTGTCACTTCCTGCATCGCACTGATAAGGATGCTGGCGGGCAGAATCGCCGTGACCCCGGCCGACTCCCTGCGGCGTGCCACTCGTCTGGCCTGCGGCGCCATGCGCCGCGCGAGGCTCGCCACCTCTGCCCGCCGGCGTATCCCTGTCGTGGAGGAACTTGCAGCTCTTGCCGAAGCGGCACTTTCCCTTCAGGAACTTGTAGCAGGCGCGCTTCGCTGCCGCGCCGCCGCTTCTCGCCTCCGCCTCGCTCAGCTTCACGTGTCGCTCCAGTATCGCGTGCTTCGCGTGTTCCGCGTCCCGATACGGGTTGCTCCACACGGACGCGCCGCGCGACAGCGACTGCGGCGAGGTCATGACCTCGACGAAGCTCGGCAGCGCCGGCTTCGACGGCGAGTTTTTGTCGTCGCGCGTCGCGGGCTCGTCGTTTTCGCTGCTCGACGAATCCGAGCTTGCGTCGTCGTCGATGAGAAAGTTCTTCGCCCCGCTGGCGGGAAAGTGCTCCTGCTGCTTGGTGTTCGTCTGTCTGCATGCAGATACAGACGAGTTAATACGTAATTCGAATGTATATAATTATTATATACACACCAGTGCTTAAACATACCATGAAAGCCCACTACAAATTCCATTCAGTATAGTGCAGTGATGGAAGAAATTGAAATGAGATATGGTGCAAACTGTATTTTCGTACACATATATATATATATATATTACAATTTACATCAGGGCCAAACAATTTGATAAGTCAAAAATGGTAATTACTAATTATTGATGAATGAATTGAATTTCTCCACACAGCATGCTCACAGGCACCCCAGAAATAAGTCATGATACATAACCTAACTAATAACTAACATAACTTTAAGAAGCAACTAGACAGAGGGCACTCACGGAGAGTGCATACCTCCGCGAGCGTGTAACATGTATGTGTATAACAGCTGGCTCGCTGCTGGCTGCTGCTGACTCGACGCCCTAAGGCGAGCTGCTGCTGACTGGATGCCCTAAGGCGAGCTGCTGCTGACTGGACGCCCTAAGGCGAGCTGCTGCTGAATCGATCGCGCGAACACTACACACACACACGCGAACACACACACACACACGCGCGAACACACACACACACACACGACCGATCGCATTACCTCCCCTGCAACTCTGTTGCGCGGAGGCAATGACGTGATACTTATATTCTAACCAGTGACAGTGCTCATCTGGCTGTCTGTGCCAGTGCTAAAGCAAGACAAGTGCCGCGAAGCGACAGCGCTCATCTAACGTCTACTGCGGTGACTCTGTGGTGGAGTGGTGGGATTCTAGTAAACCCTGTTAGTCCCAAATGTGTTCACATACACGCCGAAACAGTGGAATGCACAAGGATGGTATCAGGAACCTTCTCAAAGGAATGTTCGTTGGAATCGTTATGAAAGTTGCCACGAGATGGCGCGTACGTTTAAGTGTCTTCAGATTCAAGATGGAAGCTCTCATTGTACGTAGTAGCAACAACTATTTTGCCAAGCAGATATAGGCTAAGCACTCATCCATGTTTACGCTACGCAAGCCTACAGGGCTGCAAAATGTGCAATTAGAGAGCCTCTCCACCTGCTAACCAATTAACGCAGGCCAAAAACTGCACCCAAACACATGCACTGCATGCAGCACTTGGCAGCTGCCAACGTTTACATGGTAACATACTGACAGTACAGCAATGCCCATAGAAAGTTAACGATTTACAGGAACATACACCTTCTTTACAAATTTAGCTTTATTGAATTTCACCTGTGACATTGTAGCCTGCATGCATCCAGCGCATGGATAGATTCTACTAGCAAACCCGGCAGTCAAATTTCTTTCTAACAGACAGCTCCAACAAATCCAAGTTTAACCCTCCGCTTGAGCGGTCAAAAGGTTATCTGAACTTACTTTTTCGCCATGCAGCCAAAAACGTAGATTTCATGGTTCCTTTCAATAATGCCCATAAAAATGCTAGGTCAGGTCACCGCTGCAACAACAAAAAGGTTTTTCTCAATCGCCCCGTCAGAACCATGCTCCTCAGAAAAATGTCTAAAATCTGCCGTGCCCAATGACCTTTGACCTGTGCACTCCAATTTCGCACAGTGATGGCTTTTCCTACCATGATGGCTAACACCAACTAGCACAAGCCTAGTGCGGCCATTTCAGATTTGGCCGCAATTCTGATTCCTCCCTATACCTTAAGTTAAGGAGTGGAATGTTCCTCCTTTACACCTTTGACCTTTGCACCTTTTGAACCCCAGCTCGACATCCCAACTCGTTTTGACAATCCCCCCCAATGCTGCCGAATATCGTGACCGTTACAACGTCAAGCGCGTTATGATTTGTGCCCAACTGCTTGACGGACGGCGAGCGGACGCGGCGGACGGCACGCACGGACGGAGCGGACGGACGAGGAACGACACGGACGACGATGACGACGATTCAAGCGATGTCTACAAGCTGCATCCTGACTATGTCATGCAGATGAGCTAAGAAGGGATGTTAGAAGTCACAAGTAAGCGTGTATTTCTGAATTTCAGGCTTCAGGCCGGCTATCAGCCCTCTATGTGCGTGCCAGAGCAACTGCTTCTCACATGAATAGAGCGAACAGCGGAGGAAGGAGACGAGGGAGAAAGTGGTAGATAGCGAGAGAGAGAGAGCAGAGATAGAAAGGAAGAGGGCGGAGATTAGCAATAGTGCAAACGGAGCCGAGAGGGAGTGAGAGGCGACGGTTGGTCAGGAAAGTAAGAGAGAGAATAGAGAGAGAATGCAGAGGCCTTATAAGAGTACTCCTATTAGATATTCTACATACTTCCTACCTTGTCAGTCCAGCGATTGTTCGTCGTCTTACTGTATTCGTTCTTTGACTGGACAAATCATTAACTCCTCCCCCAATCCAGCCAATTGCCATTACTGCATTACATACGTACTTGTTTGCATTATCTTGTTATGTATTAGTGATGCGCCAGTGTAATGATGTAGTGAGAAATGATTTTTACTGTGCTGAAGTAAAGTGTCGTAATAACAACCGCCTTGTCCAAACGCCCAGCTGGCGTACGAACTTGTATACATTTAACGCTTCTTCAAGTACTAGAAGCTGAACGTATACGCTGAACCCTACACATCCACACCGCGATATAGGTTCAGTTAGCAAAAGAATTATATTTTTTTTGTCAACAGTAAACAAATTGGTGCTTCACATTCTACTTGAGGTCGTCAAAAGTCACCAGACAGGTACTCATTGACACAGTGGAAAAATCCATTCATGTTCTTTTAATAACATTGCGAAGTTTTCAGTGTTTTTCACCACTTTCATGACACCTTACGTTATTGCTTTGGTAACAGCAATTGTCTAGTAACAATAAAATGTCTTAGAACCTTCGTATTCACCGAAAACTGCAGTTCTCGAACTATGTTTTTATAAACATTCGTTTTCTGTCATGTTGAACTAACGAGGAAGTGATGGATTAGCTTGCATGGCGCCACCCGCTTATCTGCCATTTTAAGGCGCGGCCCGGCGGCCGGGCGCACTGGGGGCCGCGCGTCACACGGAGCGTTTTTGGCCGGAGCCAATTAGGCCCGTGCCAGAGTTGGCTCGAGCAGAGCGTTGCACCGGACATTTTTGCCGGCCTAATTAGGCCCGAGCCAGATTTGGCCCCCTATCGAAAACGTCGGGACCAGAGGCCCGAGCCAATTTAGCACAGCTTTCGGCGGCGGTTAGAGAGGTAGAATTGTGCGCGTAGATGCCGCGAGGTGTCAAACGTGATCTTCGACGAAAAATAAAGTCCAAAACAGCTATGAAAATTCGGAAAATTTGATCAGGGATGGCACGTTTTCAGATTATAATTAACTCGGAACGTAAGTAAACACTCTAAATAGTAACAACGCCACTCATCGCACATAGCTGCCAACAGTATCATGTGAGATATTTGTGCAGATAAAATTTATCTTGAATTTGAATGTTGGGACAGACAGGTATTTCACTTGCGTAGGTCCGTTGAAACGCTCTGACTCAATTAGGCCCGAGCCAAATTTGCTCCGATCAATCTAGCATTTGGCTCGGAGCCAAAACGATGCCGCTGGAACGCGGACTATAACACAGTACAGGGCTTGCACTTGTTTTTCAATCGATCACTGACACAGAATCAAAGTTTACCAATTCTGCCATTAGCATTATCGGCATTACGATAAATTTTTGCGTTACGAGTGGTCAAATCCATTTTTCTTGCTATAACTCCATAAAAATCTTAGTGATTTTTATGTTTGGTGTAATCAGGTGATATCTTCGCTGGTCCAGATGAGATATAATTCAGCTTTATTTAGTTTTTCTGGAGCAAAAATCTCGCAATAACCGTTTTAATAGACCCATAAAAAGTTCTCATCTGTCCTGCAGCCATGTCCTGAGAGAATGTCTAAACTCTGTCGTTTGATCCTATTGTGCTGTGACCGCGACCCTCAAATTGTTGCAAGAGGTTATTTAGTTTTCTCACCGATGACGCTATATACCCAATATCAAGAGCATAGGTAAAGCTGGGAGTGTTGATACTTTGACTGCCAGAATTCTGCATCTTCCTTCTATTTAGCTTCTATGCTCTCAAGTCATGAAGGGACTATTCCCCCTTCTTTTCCCCCTTCTAAACATTTGACCCTTGAACCCTGATTCATCATCCACTTGCGTTTCGGAATCCTTCCTATGACATGTCCAAAGATCAACATCGTATGTTCAAACCGTTTAGATTTGTACCGGTATTTGTTATCGGGCAGACAACACTCATGCCATCTCTACAAGCTGATGTCTGACTTTGTCAGATGAGCCTAAAAATAATAACCAATTCCATTTGAATTATTGCACACCCTCATTACAGAAAAATCGTAAAGGACCCTAGAAAGGAATTGCAGGGTACGGCAATGTCCCTACAGTCAATTTATGATCGCAGCTGATCGAGCGTTCTTTCAATTTTTATTAATTTATACATAGTATGAACCCTAATGTAATAACAAAATGGTACTCAATAATAATTTTAATATATATAATATAGTCACAGTGCTGAGTATGAGTGACCGATCTTTAGACTATAGTATTAAATTGATTTATAAATAATAACACTGCACAGCGTGCAGGTTGGTAACGCTCATAGGGTCATGTCCACCTTTTATTATTTTAATTATGTAAATGAATATTAATATATTTTAATTATAATTTTAATAAATATTAACTTGAATAAAAATAAATAAGAATTTTTATATTATTTAAGTTACTGCGGAACGTACCCTCGGTAACTATTTTGATATGCGGTTAGGGTTAGGAGTTAAGGTTAAGGGAGTAGGCGTAGCGGGCTCCTAGACTCGTTAGTGGAGTAGGCGAGGTACGGTCCGCATATTAGATAGTACCAGGGTACGTTCCGGCAGTACCCTGGGGGACATAGACCCTCTCCGCGTTGGTAACTTGTCACCGGTTGCGGCGGGTTGGTGTATCTGCTTACTCCAGCTATGCTTTCAATAAATTCTAGTTTCTAACAAATCAGAAATCTTTACTTCTACTTCTACTTTAGAAGTAAAGATTTGTTAGAAAACTAGAATTTATTGAAAGCATAGGACATATTTAGCTCATCTGACAGATATTAGAATTTCAAGAAACTGTATAGTACTGTATAGTGCAGTATTGTAATTTGTATTTATAATATAACCAGTAAAATGGCAGTAGTTGAACACCAATCAATGACCAAGTCAAGTGTGACGAGTCACACTCACAGTCTGTGATAGAGACGTAGTAGGGCACTTGAACGCGCGTGCACTACCTCAAACCCATTGTGCAGATGAGCTGTAAATAACACGAACTTTCATATAATAATCCTTCCTGTATGCCATCGTTTACACTTTCCTCATCAGATTCACTCCCACTACTAGATCCACCCATAATTTGCAACAAGGAGGTGCCATGTTGTTTTTGCGACACTATCGCTGAGAAAATACTCCTTCTCCTATTTATGTGTTTTATCCTATTTAATTTTTAATATTTATTTAATAATTTATCTATAAATGTTTTTTTCGATTTACGTTAAAGTTAGTCGGTACGGATTAAATAGTATAATTATATTTATCAACTGATGCGGCCAAATGGAATGGGCAGCTGTGAGTTGATGGGCGAGACATGGTTGAATTCCGCCGGCACTGATACAAGATGTCTGGTAAAGTAAGGCATAGAGTTTGGTGCAAATCCAACAAAGCAGTACTCTCTCTGTAAAGAACGAATTCTGAAAGACTGTCACAACATATACATTGATCAGCAAATGGTAAGTCTGTCAACTCTGTTAAACCCGTGTTGTCTTAGATTTCTAGGTCGAGTAAAAACAATAACAACCGTTGCATTTTGTCATGAACGTGTCACTGTCGCAGATGGGGTCGTTGTCGTATCAGGTACTTACTAGTACTACTAGATACTACTACAGTACAGTACAGATATGTACCCGAGTAGTTTTAGGTTGTTTAGTATTTATGTTATATATTTTTATATGAGGTATATTTAGAGTTAGGGTTAGTGTTAGGGTTAGGGTACACTTCTGTAGTACAACTTGTCTGGTTTGTGTATACGATATATGTACCTCGGGTACATATCTGTATACTGTAGTACCTGACGCGACAACGACCCCTTGAGCGTCACTGTCGCTGATACTGATAGGGGTCTATATCGGAGGGTACCTGGGTACGGTTTGATATATCGGGAAAGTACCTCGGGGGTACTATACAGTATACGCTGCGTACCCTGCATTGTCCACCGTACCCTGACTTTCAGCCAACTGATCATGAATATATATAGTATACACAACATATAAAACCCTAACAAAATAAACATATGGTTTTGCATAAAAATGATAATTTTTAGTGAATGACAAGTTGACAACATTTAACGCTCTCCCTATGATTAGCCTGACAGGCTGTGCGACGGATTGTCTATACAGCCTGACACCCTTCCATACAAAAAAACCATCACTCTGCAGATCTAGATGAATAACTCTGTATATCTCAAAATAAAACTATTCTATTACCGTGCCTTTGACTTGCCTTGTTTAAAATATGAACGTTAACTCACAGTTGTCTGCCTTCTAAACTAGAATGTATCTCTTAATTCACGTTATAATCTGGCTAATTCTCACAGCATATCAAATTTCAAATCAGCTTTACCGCCAGGTTAGGCAAGGCAGCGAAACCGAAACGGAAGAAGACTCGCTAGAAAATACTACAGAAATGTACGATGGCTCTCACGGCAATTACACACCAAAGCAAGTGAAACGATGTTCACAAAGTCTGGGCCATTTGTAAAACCTTGATGACATGTTCTCGGATGTTGGGGGTGTTACATTAGGACCCGCAGATTGTTTAATTTTGCTTGGTTCGATGTCCATTTGCGATTTAGTCACAGTCGGAATGATAGCAAACATGCGGCGAATTCATAAATGTTGTTGTGCATTCGTCTCAAAAAGTTGCTGTAACCCGTAAGATTCCAGCGCATGTAGTGCAGCGCACTGATGGTTACAGGAAGGTGGACGTTTACGATTCATTTGTATATCACATGTGTGGTGTTCTTTGGCGATACTTGGAATATAAGGCAACTACCGTGTTTAGCTGGCAGCCAAGGTTTGAAACGTATTGTAACCCTAGCAATACCGTTTCTTGGAGCTGCCCTATGATAGGCCTACTGGTGGGTGAGGTATTACCGCCGCAAGATATTGTGAGTTGCTAGAACACGGGCGTCGAAGGAGGATCACGTGATGTGGCTTGCATTGTGTTAGGATTAGGGTTAGGATTAGGGTAGGAAATAAGCCACGTCTAGCACGGAAGGTATGACTGTGGAATCTCTCTGTGGAAGATTTGGACTTTGAGCGTACGAAGTGACTAGTGCTGCCACGTAACGGCACCCTCCTTCGACGCCCGTGTTCTAGCAACACCAAGATATTGCCGCCCGTCACGTCCATATTGATTTTTTAAATATTTATGTCAATATCAAACCATTTTAAGCTGAGCTATTGCCATGGGTCGTCGTCCGTCGTACGTCTGTCCTTCCGTCAACATTTGGCTACGGTCAACGATAACTCAGGAACCGTTTGACCCACATCTTTGAAATTGGGTATAGTTGTTACTGCTATGCTCCCATATAGACGTCCTATTTGCGAGCACGCCAGTCGAGTACTTTTGAGCCACAGCAATTTTTTGGCAAAAATGGGAATTGCCATTAGTCAGTTCAGCTTCAACGGATTTTGCTCATTTTTGGTATTGTGAATGAATAATGGCTAGGGTTTTGATATTTAAAAAAAAATGTGCAAATTAGGTAGGTTTTGGCAATTATATAGCTATTATATAGACACGCAGATAACAAACAGTCTGTGGTGTCACACTCGTCTGGTTCGTTTTACAGATTTCATTGACAATATCTTTAATGCAAAATTGGTATTTCCTCTCACTCTGCCGATAAAACGTCTATATTAGAGTAAAGTTTTACAAAACATGTCGGAACGCAGCATAACCTATTTATCGAACGCCATCGCTAAGAAACATCAAAGCGGGTATAGCGCCATCTACCGTCACAATTGTGATTTATTTTTGGTTTATAAATTATTAATGCGAATACAGATGGCAACCGTGCTAGCACCGCCTAAAAAACTCATACGAAGTAAACACTTCCATCATATGCAACCAATTAACCTTTGACAAAAGTTGTGTTATGGGCAGTGGAAACACCATTGTCACGTGGTAATATAGCCAGCTATGGAATAAGCGTATCCTCTCGAATGTTACACGTTACACATCGGGAGCTCCGCTTTTAGGCAGTGCCTAAATCTGAATATTATAAAAACGTTAAATGGCGATCATTTAGGTGTAACGCCATCGCTCGCCCACATCTCAGACTTTCACATCTCAAACATTTATTTTCACATAAAAAATTACACATATAATTATCAAGAGTATATAATGGGAGTTCTCCCATATATACTTTTCGTTTCTATAATGTACGTCGATGGTTGCTCAATTAAAACTGACTTCTTCTCACTCATTCATTTGTGTCCTTTTTTGTGGTGAGCTACAGTGTCATTGACACTTTCATTAAACTAGAATAGGAGTTGTTTATTGAGGTAGATAATTAATTTTATGCAATTATATTTTAATAGAAATTATTTTAAAATGTATAAAATTAATCAAATTATTTGAAGTTGGAGAAATTGTGTTTACTAACGTTCTGCCCTGGTGAGGAATAAAAAATTTCAACAATTAGAACACAGAAAGTTAATAATTGTTATTTATATACCAACAATTCTACTGTTATTACGGACATTTCTGGTGTGTTATGCAGTGTGTATCTTTCTGTGCAGTGGGTTGCATTTAACTGTTTCAGTAGAAAAGTGGTTTACATAGGCTCTAGCAGTTGTAATATAGACTGTGAATTGTCAGCTGTGACATAATCATGACAAAGCCGCTGCTGCTGCTGCAGCTATACCCTAGTTGCATAATTGCCTAATATGGTTCACTCCAAGTCAATTTGGGGTTGTTATGCAATGACACCCCATAGGATGTAATCTGCTAATATATATAGTATTGTCTCTGTGTACCTAAGCAGAACAGGACATGCCTAATCCGTTTTATAGCAAGATGCAAAAATACTTGCTACCCATTGTCCCTAAATTTTAGAACCCCTAGTAATTTACATCAGAAGTGATGTATTCTTTAGCTATCCATGTAGATGTGTAAGTAGTAAGTACATGAAGTGACATCCTATTATTGACAGCAAGGCTGCTTATATAATAGTGCCCGTGTCACTGTTAGTGTTATGGTTATCCTTATATAATCATGTATGCTTCCTCCTCTAGGGCTGGTGCCAATTGCAGAGAAGTTGGGTCTATCACTGATGGCACCCAGGAAGAAGATTAACATCTTGTTGCTAGGCAACCACTCTGCTGGGAAGAGCACTTTCATAAACTGGTGAGATATAATTATTGCCGGCCTGCTTTATATTCGAGTCTGTAGAAGACCTGCTGTTACCTCGCTCAGATTATAGACACGCAAATCCTACCTCAGTATAACCTGCTTAAATGAGGCCACTCCTGGAAGATTTTTTATTGGTCGTCATCTTAACGAGTTGTTGAGATCGGGTCGATGGAAAAAATGAAATTTAACCGTTTTCCTCGATTGGTTATAAATGCCTTCCCTCTGGACGTTTTTAAGTTTGAGCCAAGATTTGTGGCACCAAAGTTATGTTTAGCCACCATTTGTGAATTCGAAATGAAATGACATTGCAAATTAATGGAACCAGGCTCAACCAGCAGTAGTCCCATGTGTGCCTGATGTATTTGAGGAGCAAAACACATCTAAAGATTGCCTACCCATATTATATGCCTGCGGATCCACACTTGCAATACAGTGTTGAGGTACCTCAAACAAAAGCCTAAGCCTATCCCTAACCCTGACCCTAACCTTAACCTTAGTTCTAAACCTAACCCAAGCTCAATCAGGATAATGAATCATATCAAAAGTAGTTCGACTATCATTATGATTAATTGCCTACTGTTTGATTGACCTACTAGTTATTGACTGTCAATTGATTGGTTTGACCAGCATTCTCCAGGGCTCTAGCAAATTGCTTTACATCATTACTAGCTAGGGGCATGTGGGATCACTGTCCGCATGGGTCTCTGACATTGTTAATTTCCATCTCAAATCTACACACTATAGACGTTTAGAAATTTTCCAGGCCTGGATACACATATATATATATATATATATATATATATATGCTAGCTTCGTTATCAACTGCAAGGCTAAATATGGCCAGATAGTACCCTGTCTTCATGTGTCGTGATCTTGGTGATATCGTATCAGTTCAACTTTACATTACCCGTGGCTTAATTTGCTCTTTACTGCTTCTAGAACAATCCTTCCAGCCACGTAGGGTGCACTGCAAGTTCGTGTATTTGCGTTGTGCTTTTCTTCGCGTTTGTCTTTCGATTTCATCCTGCGCTCGGTCGTACATCGGTTATGATCTCACACTGCTCCGCGTCTCATAATTGCCCCCGCCCCCAGCACAGCTTTAGCTACTGCCCACCAGAGCTGCGTAGATGCAGGGAGGGAGTTATTGTGTGGATGAGCTATAGCTGACACCGTGCTCGGGTCAACCGCCGAGAGGCGGATGGGGAGTTGCTGGCGCGCACCAACACAAGACTCTGCGCTTGTGAATTCGTTCAGCGATTACGTCACCCGAGCTTCGCCTCTGCATGAGTTAATCGGTGCTAGCTGGACTTATGTGTCAGCGCTGCCTGGCAACCCTGCGCGGTTGTTTGCTTAGGTGCAACAAGTGCAGCTGCGTGCTGTTGATGATGATGTTGATGATGATGATGATGATGAGTTGGTACTGCTCTGTCTCCCCCGCACACCATGCATGCAACATCACCGCACAAGCCGCTGCTCGTAGCCTGCTAGAGTTACACACACTGCTGACGGACAAATGGTTGCAGAGTTGCAGATGGCTGTCCCCTGTGTGGGGGGTACCGGTGGCAAGGGCCTGGTTAGGGCGCGTACTCCCACCTATCTACCGGCCACAGTGTGCGCATGGGTGCGGAGGCGTTTGGGATGGATGCTTTGCGTGCTGGCGTATGCAGTGATGTTAGTTACTTACATATATAATCAACATCAAGTAGTATATGAGAGACTTAATTAAACAGCATTGAAATTAAGAAGCCTGTGTGTGTGAGAAATGTGATGAATATGATTTTTTTGATTTATAATGATTATGAAAGTGTACAGTGATAAACATGATGGAATGACAAATATATATAGTAGACAAAAATACATTACTAATAATATTTAAAATCATCAATTTTTTTTACTAGTTTAATGCAGCCAGTCGTGCTCAAAGGTTAGCAGCCCTGGGACTAGGGGTCAGGTTGTTATTTCCTGTTAATGCACTGGAAATATTTGGATTTTGCAAATCTGTAAGCGTAGGCGCATTGATAGGAGCAGTATGAAGCTCTCAGTGTGAACGCGCTTTTTGCTTCATGGCACAGACTTAATTGTAAGCATTGCCACAACCACCTGTTACGAGCTGGTGCTAATTCATTCATATTCAGATCGACAGGCTTCAATCACTATGTGATGCTAACATTATCACTGTGTTGTTTATGTGATAGATCATACTGGGTGCAAGCTGTGCGTACGGCTAACTACTGTACTGTAGACTGGTGTCATCATGGCTACCATAAATACTATTGTGGATTTGTTCGTGTAGAGTTATAGTCGTATAGCAGTACCCTAAATGTACAGGAAGGTATCATTGTTTGGTACTCTGAAATGAGCTTATGTTTGCTTATGTTGTTAAATCAGCTCTTGGTATCAGTAGTAGATGGAGATTGGAGATAGAATGGAGATTTCTCTATTCATGTGCTACTGCTGTCGTCCGTTACAAATCAAATGCTGACTGATGCTGAATGAAGATGCTGAATGATGACTGAAGATGCTGTCTGATTACATATGGGCGCTACAGCTGTGCATGCTTGTAGCTTTGCATTTATTACCAGGAGTGAATAATAGAGATCTCTATTATTCACTTCTGATATTACCGACTAAATGCTTGTGAAATGTTGTTGAGTTTTGAGACTTTGTTGACTTCTAACATTGGCCTCGTTCAACATTACGGTAGGTCTCATTGTTTATTTATGTATTAAATATGACTACAAATCTAATTTAATCTTATTTGAAGCCATTCAGCTAGTAATTATGCAGTACTTAATGCCAACAGATATTCGAACTGCCTTGACCAGTTGTACGGCAAGGACATGATAATAATATACGACTGGCCAAAGTTTACATTTGAAGTAGTGAAACACTTTATTGTAGCTCGTATACCATTATATCATGAGTCAACAAATTTGTTTTATGATGATGATGAAATAGATACTGGCTCTCGTTATTAAATACACCGAGGGCCATAATCTACCGCAGCGCGTTATTTCTGATGCTATCTATCATATATACGCATGTGGTCCGCGTGTTGTAGTGAATTGACCGTGGCATGCGAAGTGCTCTGTTGTTGGAGTCCACCGGGAGCCATGCAGCAGCTACTGGGTGTAATCGGCGCGTAGTACTAGTAGCTTGTTGCTACTGCGGTACGGACGGCGTAAGCTGTGTGCTGCTGCTGCTGCTGCTGAACGACCGATCGCATTACCTCCCCTGCAACTCTGTTGCGCGGAGGCAATGACGTGATACTTATATTCTAACCAGTGACAGTGCTCATCTGGCTGTCTGTGCCAGTGCTAAAGCAAGAAGAAGGGGATGTTGGAAAGTCACAAGTTAAGCGTGTATTTCTGTAATTTCAGGTTTCAGGCTCTCAGCCCTACTAGTGCTGCAGAGCAACTGTTCTCACATGATAGAGGAACAGGATGGAAGGAGAGAGGGAGAAAGTGGGTAGATAGCGAGAGAGAGAGAGAGAGATAGAAAGGAAGAGGGGGAGATAGCAATAGTGAAAGGGAGCGAGAGGGAGTGAGAGAGGAGGGTGGTAGGAAAGGAAAGAGAGAGATAGAGAGAGAATGGGCAGAGGGCTTATTAAGAGTACTCCTATAGATATCCTACATACTCCTACCTTTGTCAGTCAGTGATTGTCTCGTCTTACTGTATTCGTTCTTTGACTGGACAAATCATAACCTCCTCCCCCAATCAGCAATTGCATTACATAACGTACTTGTTTGCATTCTTTGTTATGTATTAGTGATGGCAGTGTAATGATGTAGTAAGAAATGTTTTTACTGTGAGTAAATGTGTTGTACATATCAACCGCCTTGCAAACGCAGCTGGTACGAATTTATACATTTAACCTTCTTCCAAGTATTAAGAAGCTTTTAACTATAACGTTGTAGCCCTACACATCCACACCGGTATATAGGTTCAGTTAGCAAAAGAATTATATTTTTTTGTCAACAGTAAACAAATTGGTGCTCAACCATTCTATTGAGGGTCAAAAGGTCACCAGACAGGTACTCATTGCACACCAGTGGAAAATCCATGTCATGGTTCTTTTAAAGTAACCATTGCGAGAGTTTTCCAGTGTTTTCACCACTTTCATGACACCTACCGTTATTGCTTGAGTAACAGCAATTGTCTAGAGTAACAATAAAATGTCTTAGAACCTTTGTATTCACCGAAAACTGCCAGTTTCGAACTAATAGTTTTTGTAAACATTCGTTTTCTGTCATGTTGAACTAACAGGAAGTATGGATTAGCTTGTGGCGCCACCGCTTATCTGCCATAAGGCGCGTTCACACGGACGTTTTTGGCCCGAGCCTAATTAGGCCTGTGCCAGATTTGGCTCGAGCCGAGCGTTCACACGGACGTTTTTGGCCCGAGCCTAATTAGGCCCGAGCCAGATTTGGCTCGAACCGAGCGTTCACACGGACGTTTTTGGCCCGAGCCTAATTAGGCCCGAGCCAGATTTGGCCCCATCGAAAACGTCGGACCAGGCCCGAGCCAAATTTTAGCACCAGCTTTCGGCGAGCGGTAGAGGTAGAATCGGTTGCGCGGTAGATGCCGCGAGTGTTAAACGTGTACTTCGACGAAATAAAGTCCAAAACAGTATAAAAATTCGGAAAATTTGATCAGGATGCACGTTTTCAAGATTGATAATTAAACTCGGAACGTAAGTAAACACTCTAAATAGTAAACAACGCCATCTCGCGACATACTGCCAAAGTATCTGTGAGATATTTGTGCAATAAAATTTATTTGAATTTGAATTTGACAGACAGTATTCACTTGCGTAGGTGTGAACGCTCTGACTCAATTAGGCCCGAGCCAAATTTGGCTCCGATCCAAATCTAGCCCATTTGGCTCGAGCCAAACCATGCCCGTGTGAACGCGACTATAGACACAGTACAGGCTTGCACTTGTTTTCAATTCATCACTGACACAAATACAAGTTTACCAATTCTGCCATTAGG